GGCGGGGTTGCTCGATCCCAGTTATTTCCAAGCACTGGACCTGGTCTGGGATTTATTCTAGATAAAATGACGAGCAGTCTGCACATGAGAGCTTGCTCCAACATGCGGCTGTGCTTCAGAGTCGGTTCTGCTGGGTGCCCCTGCGAACGCTTGGGATCTCATGGGCATGGAGTATTGATTTGATCCAAAACGGGTATCGCCTCAGTGAAGGTAAACCGCACTTGCAAGTTCATGTCTACAACGCATCCAAGCAAGCCTGAGCTGAGAACGGGGGATGCGGAGGATCCTTGTCGTCACCTGCACGCGCAATGACAACAGTATGCCACATACTTGGATGGGCGTCCACGGGCTGGCGTCTCGCATTCCAGGTGAGTTTTTATCGGCACATGCAAGAACACTTGGGCAGCCCTGCACGACCAGCGAAGATGCGACGGCATCTGTAATATCGCAAGGCCAGTCCACCCGAAACTGGAAACTTTGAACTCGTGCCGGCGGCTCAACGGGGTCTCCAAAACGAAATCTACGTGGCGAGCAGAACTAGTAATCGTAGTCTAACATTTCTCCGCTGGGACTTTGGTCTTTGTCTGTTGGCGTCCCGCGGCTGCTCGGCACTTTGCCACTCTGACCTGCCCGCTCTGCCAGGACAGACAGTCACGGCTCTTGGAGGACAATGTCCCAGCGAATGCCAAAGGCGACAAGGAGACCAACATTGTAGCAGCATCTCTTACAGAGAGGCGGAGCATCGAGCACGACAAGAAGTGATGACTTATGCTGACTTGCTCGCATTCGAATCGCCGTAGATAGGGCCAGAGCTTCAGGCTTGATGCTTTCTACTTCGACAAGTGCCGACTTGCAGTTGCTCTGGCAACACTTTCATTTCAGTCCCGTTTGCTTGACAGAAGGTTCAAGAGCTCGTGTCCAAGGTTTCGAGTCGAACTATAGGAACCACCTCTCCCAACTCTCCACCTTGCTTGGGACACAGGACTCCTCGACACTTCTTTGTGCAGCGACCCTATATAGACCCTATATAATAACGTCGTGTACAGCCGGGCGCAACATGATCCCCTGCGATGAGTGTGCAATAAGACTGCTGCTGTGCAGGGGGATGCAGGCGCTACCAGTCCGAGCACCGTGCACTGCGCTGGCACCGACCGAGCAACGAAGGCAGCGCTTCCCAAAGCAGCAACACCTGCGCCAGGCGATAAAGTAATTCAGCACGATCATGTTTAGTTTCTCTGAAAGGACAGCTGGCAGGGTCCGGTGAGATCAGTGCGACACCACAAACCTACAAGTGGAAGAGGATGGCCGAGGCCTCCCAGCGAACGCGCAACTCGTCGGGCAGTGAAGGCCATGACCTTGCACAGAGGGCTGTGAACACACATCGGTCTCCATTCACACATTGCCAAAGTGTACGAAAGCCTGCTGGGATAAGCGGGACTGCCTGTGAGGAAAAACCATTCGAGTTCTCTAGGCTCCGGGGGCTATCGAATGGTGTGATTGATCCATGGGATCGGCTGCATTTCCGGGATCACCACCCAGCATCAGCTGTTGCAAGAGTTGACGCGAAAGAGCACTTCGTAACTGCTGCTCAAAAGCAGCCACAAGCACGGCAGCTAGCAAGCACCAATACCCACCACACCCTGTGCCCTTCTTCACTGCTCTCGCTGCCGGACTTCAGCATGCCATGCTACAGTACTATAATGCTTGCATCCGTGGTTCTCCGAGGCGGCTGCCCCAACGCCGGAGTCCCTTTGGCCTTCTCTGCCGTCAGCTGCGAGCCAAGACAAAGACAGAACACCACATCGCTCTTCATGCAGGCCTTTTTGAAAATAGGATGTATTGGCAATGGGCCTAAAGACCATGGCCAGTCTATGAAAAGTTCATTATCCGTGATGAACCGCGTAGCTCAAAATGCTGGGCGTATTGCTCATGGCCATTCAACATTGTTGGAGGCCAACGCAACGGTCGATCCGCGCTGAATCCGACTCTAAAGGGAAACGTCTGGAGGCTTAGCCTCACGAAACATGGGGATGATCAAGAGTTGTGTCTGTGGCTGCGGCGAACTTCACCAAGCACCTCGGACTTGAAGCATCGCATCGGACTGCCAGACCCAGGCCTGGATTGCCTAGCTTTGCTTCTGACACCGCATGGCATCGCCTGGCGCTGCAACTCTTGAAAGGCAACTGAGGCCCTGGCTCGGAGAATTTTTGCACAAGTGTCAATGGCAATTCCAGCTCCTGACTTCATCTCTGCAAGGCTGGCCGGTGCTTCGCCTCAGGCCACGGCCTGGGCAAACTCGACTGCCTGTTGCCCCGACGTTTGCAAAGACCATGTTCCGCTCCTGTGGTGAATGGTAGTGGGATCATTGGTACCAGGTGCTGTCGCACTGAACGCCTGCAGCCCCGGTCTGCTCGGATTGAACTCGAAGGCATCCGCACCCCAAACTTCCTGGTGCCAAAGCTTGAAAAGGCTGCCGTGTCCATCAAACAAACGTCGCAATCCGAGACGAGGAGATCTGCCGTGCAGCCTGAAACAAGTCCGCCTAGTCTGAAACAGAAACGCGGGCAACCGGCGTTGCTTGGTTGTCGCGGATTTTGCTGGGTTGTCTTGGCTTGTCATGGATGCTTCGAGGTGGTCCAACTCTGCCTCTGAGCTCCGGCGAGCTCGAAGGCGGAATGCGCACGATCGCCGGAAGATATCTGACCATTTTCATTGGCATTTGCATGAAATGAAGCAGCTTCTAGTTTCTGATGGGATGAAGATGGATGACGTTCGAGGCCTCAGTTTTACTGAGTCGAGGTTCATGGATTCTCATTTGAATGCGGGTTCCGCTGACGCTCAACTTTGACCTGACACATGCTCGGCATTGGCTAGGCTGAACCAGCAGATTCGAGCTCTGCACGAAAGCGACTGACGCGGTGCGTGCGCGATGACGGCGATGCCCCGAAGGCAGAGAGACCAATCCAAAACACCGCCACCACTGCTGCCTGCGGAAACACACGGAAAAGTCCTTTGCAGCCAATTCATCATGCAGTGTTTTGCCTCATCGCTACAATACATGGCATGCTTCTTGTCTCCTTGTCCGTCATGGCAATGTTCCTTGAACAACGAGAGCAAGCAAATTGCGTGCGAAAGAACTTCAAAAAGATGCTGTTCATCTGCTGGTGAAGCATACATTCGAGGTGCATTGGAACCAAGATCCGCGTGCCAGCAGGAAAGTCGACTGCGGTACCTTCACGCTGCAGCAGTGCATGTTCAATCCATGCGTTCATGCAAACACAGTGGGACTCGCAAGCCTTGGAGGGTAATTGAGAATGGCTCCTTGGCGCATCACGTCTCCATGTCTGCGAGTCTGCGAGGTAGCCGCATCCACAAGACTTCACGAGCAAGCATGCTGCCAAATCACCGTGGCAATGTGATGGACTGAGCTGACCGGCGGATAAAGGCGGGCAACCTGCAAAAACTGGATGCAAAATGGGTCCCTTGGACATGTGTCATACAAACGACTTCTCCGAGCAAGGTTCAGTGACCCACAATGCGCGCGAACAATCACAGCATCAAACGGGGAAACACGAGCCACACCGCAAAAAAAAGGGGACTCTTCTGGCTGCAACGTGCTGATTGCAAGTTGACGAGAACCGAATTGGGCTGCGACAGCATGCCAATGATTTGCAGGCTTTCTGATTGCAAGCGAAACCTGGAAGGCTGGGAGGAGGAACATCACATGCACTTGCACACAGCAGAAGCCGACCTCGTGTTTAAGCCCGTAAATGAGATTGCATCGAAGCTAAGTTCGTGGACACTCACACTATCATCCGCAATTTCCTGATGGCTTTCGCCTGGCAGTAAAAGGCAGCTCGCCCTCCCCGTTACTAAACATTCGGTCCGGTGGACAAAAAACTAGGCCCGAGGCACTGGAGGTCCATTTTACATGCGCGCTTCTTCGTTTTGCAGCCTGCCGACCCTCCTGTCCTACGTTCCGCGCTTGCAGCCTGCAGTTCCCCTGCAGCGCCTGCAATCCTCCCCTGCCGGAACTTTGTGAAGTGGACCAGGGTATTCAGCCCACACATTTACCCTCGCTCCGTAAATCCCGATGTTTTCCTCATCGCTAAACCCACAATGCGACATGGCAAGGACACGGCGGGAGAAATGACACAAAAAGGATCTTCTTCCGAGACAACGAGAGAGAGAGAGGGCAGAGAGAGTGAGAGTGGCCGAGAGGGGGAGCATCGACACCGGTTAAGTAACTAAGAATAGGTTCCCAGTCTTGCAGCCGACGATTTTAAGGGTATCCCTAATGAGCCGCAATTGTAACACATAGCCTTTATACCAGGCCAAACAACTTCTGAAAATCCGCCGACCCCGTCGGCGATTGGTGATACTTTGTAATGTTTCTTCACTCCTGCCCCAGCCCTCCCTCTTCTTCGACCCGCACCTGTCAGGAAAGAAAGATGCAATCCTCTTCGTCTCCAGCGAGTGCACCCGGAACCACCACCGCACTTCTCTCACTGCTGCCCTACCCCTCCCGCCTCTCCTCGAATATACAATACACGATATTTTGGAGACCGGGTCGCTGTGAGACTGTGAGACTGCCCTTTTTTATAGTTATTGCTATGGCTTCTATAATCTTTAACGTGTCTTTGATCCCATCGGCCTGTACAATGTATACGGACATACGTTCATGTGGGTATATGTATGTACACATGTATGCATGCATGCATGTACGTATACATGTATGTATGTATGTATGTATGCATGTATGTACGTATGTATGCATACGTGCTTGTATGCATCCTTTACTGTATGTGTTCATACTCATATATCCATTTGCATGCAAATACACATGTAGCATATTTATACGTGTCCACATACACACATTACCAAGAGATCTCAAACTACATAAAACATCATTCGCTTGGTGCGATACGACATGAAGGATCACAGGGTGTCAATCAAATAAACTCTAAGCTTAACCTTCATTGTATCAAACGACGTAAGTCTGCAAACATACATATATATATATATATATAGATCTGTACAACATATAGTCTAAGTTTCAACAGTATGTATCAATGATAAGAACAGCGGTATTGAATATATTGTTATTGTGAAGAGTTCGTTATTTCACCCACAGTAGAATGAACCCGAAACCACATATACCATAATTATGGGTATATGTATATACATAAACATCTACACATATATATATATACCTATAACATCTATCAATTTTTTCGAACACATGAATACACATACATATAACTATATATGTATACATACATATGTACACGCATACATATACATATACACATATATATATATATATCGGTATTTATATATATATATATGTATATATGTATACGTGTATATGTATATATGCACATACTGTAGATATATACATAGATGCATATGCCAAACCTCGCATTGGAAAACCAGGCAAGTGACAAAACATAAGGTAATAACAAGTCTTACACACATATATATATATATATGTGTGTATATGTATATATATATGAGCCCGATACCTTTAGGGTCTATTTAGCTAGCTTTTGATATATACAAGAAATACCTAACTAAATAGTCTATGGATAAATTATACATTGCAAAAACCGAAATCTAAAAAGTTTTGGACAGACTGTGATACATTGTTCAACACCGAATTTCCATATTTCCGCAGCTTGGCCTGGCGAACGGCGAACGGCATCCATACTTGAGGTATCAAATATCTTATGTGACAATCCGTTTGTTGCCATCATGTAACCGGAACTGCATATTGTTAGCAACAACAGGCATCTATCAAATCACAAACAAGCGGCCAGGTACAGTATCTGATCTAACAGATGGATACTCACAATGATGGTCATACACAGTACTCTTGAATGCTTTGTGCTGGTCTTTGTCTTTCCCTTGGTCTAATTCCCAATCTTCTAACTTTAACATCAACTCCAAACCCCCAGCACGTTTCCAAGCACTGTGACCAACAACAGCAACCAATGACAGCAGTGGCAACAAAATCAACAATCACAACCACGACCAGGATAAGATCGAATTTTGGATAACCTCTCGCTGGCAAAAGTTGGTTCACTTCTCTCTGTTGCCAATTCCCATAGGTAAGAGAAAAAACGAAGCACATAATAGGCTTAGATGTTCGCTAACATCTCGGCAGCAAAGTTTAATCCAGTTCTCTCAGTTGTCACTTCCTTTCATTTCCAGAAAAAAGGACAAGAAACCTGAACTTATATGAAAACAGGCAGTGCCTGAAGGGTGCTGTGCCATCGTACAAGCCGTACCATATCATTGAATGGGTGTTCTAAGTTTTTAAGTCTTGTTCTCATTCAACGCAGATATGTGTGTTCGCTTATCCTTGTCTTTCGGTTCTAGCCCACGAGCAAAGGAGAGTTGTTCCCATTCAATGCAGACATGTGTGTTCACTTCTCTTTGTCCTTTGGTTCTGGGTCACGAGCAAAGGAGAGGATTGGCAGGATTGGACCAAATTTTGGCGAACAGCTTGAAAGCAAAATTTGGTCAAATCCTCTCTTTTGTCGTATCTGATCGAACAGATGGATAAGGATCAGGATGGTCATACATAGTACACTTGGGTGCTTTGTGTTGGCTTTGGCATTCTTTTGGTGCGAGTCGG